ATAGAGAGTTATTTAGTAAGAATAATCAATTTTCAAATGAAACTTATACTGACCTGAATTCGCGTTGGTGTCATAATATGATAACACACATTGGTGTGAAAATAATTGTGGTGAATTAACAATCATAGTTATCAAAAAGAATACAAAACATTTTATTTTGATAAAAGCTATATGTTCCAAGAGTATTACTTACTCTCTCTGTCCCAAAATATTTTAAGTTATACAATACTCCGTATTTTTTAAAATATTTTAAAATTTTTTATAAGTTATACATTTTTCAAAATGCTAAAATTAAAATATAAAAAAAATTGTTTAAAGCACGGGATTAAAACAAATTAAAATCCTCTCTCCGTCCCAAAATATTTGTCACACTTGTTTTTTCAACAGTCGCAGAAACTTTTGTTTATTTCTACGTTTTAATTGCTTATTTGATAAAATAAAATATTATTGACAACTCTTATTTCGAAACACTTTTCATGTAGTTTATGATATGTAAATTTTATTTTTTATTTCTATACCAATATGTAAATAAAATAAATTGAAAAAACTTGATATTTTACCTAGTAATAGAAGTGTGACAAATATTTAGGGTATAAAAATTAAATTATATAAATAAAATAAAAATTTTTTTATTAAAAAGTGTCAAGTACAAATGTACAGTGTTATTTAAGACGATAAAGTTATTTGTACCCCAAACTTTCATACCTCATTTGTACTCCGCATATTTGCACCGACATTTTGTGATGTTGTAAAATTAATTTTTGTTACTGCACCAAAACTTTGTGTCCGTGTAATTTTTTTTAACGCACCAACACTTATGTCGTTGTAAACTATCAAATTGTTTGTATACAACTGCGATGTATAAATGGGATACAATTTTTTGTGTAAGTATAGGATGGCCCTATTTAAAATCTAGGAGCGCCCATCTACTCCCAAAAGCCGAAAACCGTCATCCTCCAACTAACTCCGTCCTCTTGAATAAAGACAGATACAGAAACTCAAGACAGAAGCCAATCCATATCCGTATCACTCTCTGTATTCCTGGAACCTTAATTTCTGGGTATTTTGTTCTATTTCGATGCACTTCCGTAAGCTTAAGTTCCATCTTAATTGCTAATTTTCTTTTTTTGTGTGGTTAAGCTTAAGTTTCAATGGACATGGAGAATGTTATCTTCTTCTGTGTTGCAGTTGCTGCTCTCCTCTTTCCCCTTCTCGTCGTCCTCAGAAACTTTGCCCCCAAGCACACAAAAAAGCCACCTCCGAGCCCACTTGCTCTTCCGGTAATCGGTCACCTTTACCTGATCAAGAATGCTCTGCACCACTCCCTCGCCTCCTTATCCGCCAAATACGGCCCCGTTCTGCTCCTCCGGTTCGGTTGCCGGTCAATCCTCGTCGTCTCCTCCCCTTCCGCCGTCGAAGAGTGCTTCACCAAGAACGATATTGCGTTTGCCAACCGGCCCCGGACCATGGCCGGCGACCGGTTGACTTACAACTACACCGCCTTCGTGTGGGCCCCGTACGGCCAACTCTGGCGCCTCCAACGCCGGTTCGCCACCGTCGATCTATTCTCCGCCGCCAGCCTCCATAGGTCATCTGTCATCAGGGAAGGAGAGGCCCGGACTCTAGTCAGGGCCGTGTGTAGACTCTCAGAGACCGCCGGAAGTGCACCCGTTGACTTGAAGAGCCTTGCGGCGACGTTGACTTTCAATTCCATGATGAGACTCGTCGCCGGAAAACGGTGCGTGGAGGAGAAAGACGTCGGGAGGGCGAAAGGGAACGAAATCGTTAAAGGGCTCAGAGGAATTTTCTTTGCCAGTTTATCTGTGATGAACACTTGTGATTTCTTCCCTGTTTTGAGGTTTCTTGGTTACAAAGGGATGGAGAAAAAACTGGTCTCTTTCCACAAGAAGAGGGACGAGTTCTTGAGTGGCATGCTGGACGAATTCCGGCGACAGAAAACAAAACTGTCCGATTCCGGTGGTGCCGATGACGGGGACGACAAGTCGATGATTCAAAAACTATTGTCTCTGCAAGAATCTGAGCCTGAGTTCTATACAGATGATCTTATCAAGAGCACCATACTGGTTTGTCCATATCCTTTCCTATATTTATTTCTTATGGATAATTTAAATTAGTGACATTTGTCTAGTGGAGAATATTTAAATCATTTAACCACGTTTGGTTCGATCAGATGATGTTCGTGGCAGGGACCGAGACGTCATCAGCAACCATAGATAGCGCAATGTCGGAGCTGCTAGCGAATCCGGAGGCGATGCATAAGCTGAGATCAGAGATTGACAACGTCATCATCGTGGAACCCGACCAACAACGGAGTTTGGTAAAGGAATCCGATCTTCCCAAGCTTCCCTACCTGCGGCGCGTGGTGAACGAGACGCTGAGGTTGCACCCCCCGGCGCCGCTTCTCTTGCCTCACTGTTCGTCGGAGGATTGTGTCATCGGGGGATACGATGTTCCCAGGAACACAATCTTGATGGTCAACGCTTGGGGTCTTCATCGGGACCCGGCGGTGTGGGAGGTGCCGGAGAAGTTCTTGCCGGAGAGATTCGAGGCAACGGAGGAGGCGGAGCTCGGTGCGAACGGCTGGAAGTTTCTTCCGTTTGGGATGGGGAGGAGGGCGTGCCCCGGAAATAATATGGGGTTGAGAATGGTCAGCCTCGCTTTGGCGGCTTTGGTTCAGTGTTTTGATTGGGAAATTGATGATAATAATGGGAGTATAGTAGCCAAGGCGAGAGAGCCGGGGGCGGTTTCGTCTTGGTGTTGACCGGGCGGACCGCTAAGCCTCCGGTGGCGGCGTCCACGCCTCACATCGGAAGTTCCATTCCGTTCCTAGAATAGATTGAGGGGCGATTGTCTCGCCGGCTGGGCATAGATGGAGCTGCGTGCTACAAGTCATGCTTTTACATGTATTTGAAATTAATCCATTTTCTTATCAAGTGAAATTTACACTAAATAATACGTAGTACTAAAACATCTTCATTTTCTTAATATAGCACCTAAAACTTTTTATTTCTTAAACAATACTCGAATAATATCTAGTGGCGAGATTGCGAGAACAATGTCCAATTGAGAGTGGACATCAACTTTGAACATCTGCATTCGTAAACTTACTATGTTTTAGTACTAATAATCGATGCTTTAGATCAAAGATATGTAACGCGTGTACGTTTTTTAAAAATTGAGTTCTTATGATTCCAAAGATAATTCTTGTGTTTAGGAAATGGATTCGCCCTAATTGAATATGAAAATAATGACGGATAATTTAATGTATTATTATTGTCAAACAAAATAGTAAATACTGAGTATTTTTATTAACATGATATAATTTTTATAACAATTCGATGCAGATGAACTTTCTTAGAAGCAATTTTTATAATAATTCAATGCCATTATGGTTTGAGATTGATTCCGATATTTTGTTTTTGAAAAAATGTTAGGGAATGTATAATTATTCCATACTACTCTCTCTTTTACAATTTTTGATATCATTTAAAAAAATTAAATTGAAATAAAGTCGGTTAAACTTCGTAAATACAAACGAGAAGATGGTTTTAGGACGGAGGGAGTACATGTTAAAAAAGTACATCAAAATTTTTATAAAACAAGATGTGACAAGAATATTTTATTTTATCAAATAATTAATAAAGACATATAAACTATCAAAAGTTATCGAGAAGAGAGAGAGAATAAAATTATAATCAAAATGTGAAGGAGTGAGTACTTTTTTTGTTTATAGATATTATGAATCCATCCTAAATAGATTGATGATTAGCCTTAAGAATAGAAAATACGAGTATAAATAATACTCTCTCCGTTCTCAAAAACACTTCTTCTGTCAGTTTTTTCACTTCCAACAAAATACTTCTACTTTCTATTAAAAAACCACTTTTACCCTTACTTTTTCATACCCTACCTATCACATCATACTTTTTCTCTAATAATCTACTCATCACATCTTACTTTTACCCATCACATCAAGGGCAAAATTGGAAGTCAACTACTCCCTCCATCCTAAAACTTTCTTCCCAGAGCACTATTCAAACTTCACGGGAATTTATATTTATTTGTATTTTTTCATGACCTATATGATAAAATAAAATATTCTTGTCACCATCTTTTTTGTTAAACTTTTGATGTAGTTTTTAAATATGTATGTTTTATTTTTTATTTCTATACCAATATTTAAATAAAATAGATTGAAAAAACTTAAGATTTTTCTTCGTTTTGCGCAACGGGAAGAAAGATATAGGACGGAGGGAGTACAATTTAGCACTTCCTTATTTTTCCACTTTTTCAAACTAGGAACTCTTTTTGAAACAGAGGAAGTATAATCAATTTTGAGATTTAACAACAATTCAGATATTAGCCATGTATTATCTTGTTTTTTTCCTATTGTTTCATATCTTTCTTTTCATTTTAATATCTTTATCGCTCCTTCCATAAATAGATTTACTCCCTTCGTCCTATATCTTTTTTCCCGTTGCGCAAAACGAAGAAAAATCCCAAGTTTTTTCAATTTATTTTATTTAAATATTGGTATAGAAATAAAAAATAAAACATACATATTTAAAAACTACATCAAAAGTTCAACAAAACAAGTGGTAACAAGAATATTTTATTTTATCATATAGGCCATGAAAAAACACAAATAAATATAAATTTCCGTGAAGTTGGAATAGTGCTTTGGGAAGAAAGTTTTAGGACGGAGGGAGTATTATTTACAATTAAAGTATTGCAAATGAAAAAAGACAAATATTTTAGAACCAAGAACAAATATGAAAGTAAAGCTAAAGTGTATTGTAGAAAATGGAAAATGTTCGGACATTTTTTTGGAAAGCTCTCAAAATGCAAATAGATTGAGACACCACCATCGCTTGGCTCCATCTCTCTTCCACTTCTCTGATGAATGCAACACAAGCTCTGACGCGGGAAGTCGTCTGAACTTTTGTCGATGGATAATCTCGAAGAAAAGCCACTGGAAACCCGAAATAAGGGGAACTCGAAGACGCCGGTAACGGACAATTCCGCCAACGTCTCCGACTACGATGGCGCCGCCACCGCTACGGATTCCACGTCTTCATCGCCTCCTCCACTTCCTTCTCCCGAAGTCAGCCCCTTCCACGTAGGTGAAAAGGTCATTACTTTTCACTGGGATCGACCGTACGCAGCTAGGGTAAACTCTACTCTCTCTATGCTGGCAGCAAATCTCATTGGACAGTTTCACGAAACCCTTCAACGCAAACCATTAATGAAATTTCAACCTTTCTAAGTTTGCTGATTCGTGAACATAATGATTGAGTCCAATACAGAAATTATGTAATCTGGTTAACAACTACAGTTTTCCAGTGCGATTAAAATGAAATAAAATTGAATTAGTTGGAATATACCTTTACTGTGATGACTGTTTTTAAAAAAAGACCAATCTTTATCCAGCATTTAGGGTCCAATTACATATTTGACCATTTGATTCTGTGTTGATGTTTTTTTTTGAAAAAGTTGAGTGCTATCTAATTGTTTGATAATGTGCCCTTTACATTGGATGGGAAGATTCAAAGCGCTGAGTTCGTGATGAAACAGTGGAAGTATTTCATTCACTATCTTGTAAGTAATATGATGTATGCTTTTAGACCAATTTATTTGTTGAGTCCTGGTGTCTTGTATGAAACACATAACCTTATGTAAAGGTTTGACACGAAATGTATTTGATTCTTTTGTTTTTGCAGGGTTGGAACAAAAGGTGAGTGCATATATACCACACGAAGCTCCCGTTTAATTAAAAGTGTAATGAATTCTTTAATAGTTTCAGTGACGGAAGTAATTCTGGTTGTAAGTGTGTCGAGGTCTTAGAATTGGAGCTTTGATGGAAATTTTATGAATGTGTTCGTTTTAACAGCTGGGATGAATGGCTGCCCCCAGAACAGTTGGTAAAATTCACCAAAGAGAACATGCAAATGCTGGAGGAAGTTTGCAAGGAAAATGACATGAACATGAATGAAACGGCCCAGGGCGGGCCACAAGCAAGACAACAAATTTCGAGAGGTTAGATTCTTAGCTATATGCATTGTGATTTAAATCTACACGTGCACTAGTAGTATGCTGTTTTCTATCTATCATATTTAAATTAACAGACGATTAAAAAGCTTGAAATCATTTTTACTACAGTCACTAAATTGTTGGTTCAAGATTGCTCGTAAGTCTTGATAGTGCAAGACTCAGCTCAATGCTTTGGTGGAAATGTGGAATAAATGGGAGTATGGGACATGTGTTGCACTCTGATATCACGTGTACAAAAAGCACTAAATCTGTAGTGGGTGAGGAGAATGATATCTGATCTGTGTGGATCATTTTTGCCTCCTTATCTACTGCATCTTACATGGGATCAAAGGGAGAATATCTCCTGATCTTCTAAATCTTATAGATTATTCTTTAGACGTCATATGTGCTTCTTAAACTACTTCTCAACATTCTTCTCTGTGTCAGATCTTTAAGGCCTTTTCTACAAGAAGTAGTATTGGATTGATGGATTCTACTTTTCTAGTTTATACTTGACACTTTCTTAAATATTCCTCCCATAATGAATTAGTTGAACCAGCACCTGTGTGGACGGTGTGGTAGTAGGCCGAGCCATGTCGAGCCAGCCCAATTAGTGCTGGCCCAAATGGGCTATGCTTAGCCTTGGTTCAGCCACCTGACACTATGCAGAGCCAAAGCGGGCTTCATTGAGCCAATTAGGAGCTCTATTGGGTCTTTATGGGCCATATAGAACCACCTTTGATAATGATCGTGCCACCTCAGCCTTGGTTGAGTTTACAGACTTTGTTGAGTCATATTCAGTGGTCGTCGAGCCATCTTAGGCGTCGATTGAAGCACAACAGGCTCTGTTGAGCCATTGATGAGGAAAGGAACAGAATGGGCTTTGTTAAGTTTGAGTCTAGACTTGATGGACTGGTATGGGCTGTGACAAATTTGTATCTGTGTAATATGGGTACATCTGGATACTTTCATAAATGTGAGCATTTCTAGTGGACTCCTTATTTTTTGTGTGTATTTTTGCATTCTTTAACGTTTTAGGGATTTTCATTACCACCACTAGTCCAACATCACCACCTTAATGCCATTTAGTTGAATGATACTATATAAGGAAATAATGAAATACATTAGCTATTTTCTGTTTTTAATGACTGGAACTGTCAGTCACAAAGTCATGTGTATTACCTAGGAAGCAGGCATTCCTTACTCGGTTTTATAGAAAATTACAAAAATAAAAAATAAGCTCTCTTATTTTGTTTGTCACACTTTTTCTTTTATCCATCTTAGAACCATGTTCATTTTCCAAATGTAAACATTATTGACTTTTAGTTTTTACTCTTCTAAAAGAATGATTATTTTTTCTATTTGTACCTTTTAGAACCAACATTCCGATTGAAGTTTGGAAAGGTTTAGGAGGAAAACGCATTTGGTGGCTAACTAAGCTTTTTAACGAGATTTTAAGATCTAAGAAGATGCCTAACAAATGGAGGAAGAGCATTTTGGTTCCTATTTATAAGAATAAGGAAGAAATTCAAAGTTGTGGAAACTAAAAAGGGATCAAACTTATGAGTCATACAATGAAGTTATGAGAAAGAGTGGTTGAACGAAGGTTGAGACAAGTGACTTCGGTGTTAGAGAACCAATTTGGTTTTATGCCTGGAAGATCGACTACAGAGGCTATATACTTGGTGAGAAGAATGATGGAGAGGTACCGAAGTGAAAAGAAAGATCTACATATGGCTTTTATTGATTTGGAAAAGGCATATGAAAGGGTACCAAGAGAGGTTTGTGGAAGGTGCTAGGGAAAAAAGGAGTAAGGATTGCTTATATTCGTGCGATTAAGGACATGTACAACGAGCGTGAGAAGTCAAACTGGGATAAGAGGGGAATTCTCCATCGGGGTAGGATTACACCAAGGGTCATCGTTAAGCCCATATCTTTTTACACTAGTATTGGACGTTCTTACCGAGCATATCCAAGAATCTGTACCATGGTGCATGCTTTTTGCTAATGACATCATCCTTATGAGCGAATCACGAGAGGATTTGAATGAGAAGTTGGATTTGTGGAGACATGCTTTAGAGTTGCATGGCTTGCGTATTAGTCGCACTAAAACAGAGTATATGGAGTGCAAGTTTGGCAACAAAAGGAGAGAGGGTAACATCGAAGTGAAAGTTGGAGAAAATACTATATCCCAAGTTTAGAGATTTAAATATCTTCGGTGTACCTTTCAAGACAATGAAGAAACTGAAGATGATGTTAATCACAGAACAGGTTGGTCAAAATGGCGGAGTGCTTCGGGCTTTATATGTGGCAAAAGTACTTTTAAAACTAAAGGGAAAATTTTACCGTACTGCTATTAGACCAACTATATTGTATGGGACAGAGTGTTGGGCAGCAAAGGTTGAACATGAACACAAGGTTAGTGTGGCGGAAATGAAGATGCTTCGTTGGATGAGCGGGCATACGCGTATGGATAGAATAAGAAATGAAGATATGAGAGCAAAAATTGGAGTGACACCTATTGCACGAAAAACAGTGCAAACTCGTCTTAGGTGGTTTGGACATGTGGAGAGAAGACCAATAGAACATCCCGTGAGAAGGGTTGATCAAATGGTGACTATGCATGTGGCTGGAGGAAGAGGTAGATCTAAGAGGACTTGGCAAGCATTGATCAAGGGAGACCTTCGCGTGAACAATCTCACAGCAGAAATGATACACGATAGGGTGCAATGGTGTCGTTTGATCCATGTAGCCGACCCACCTAGTGGGATAAGGCTTTGTTGTTGTTGTTGTACCTTTTAGAACCATAATAGGTTCTCTAAGTCCCTCTTAGGGGTGTGGTCTGTGTCTCACTTAATGAAATAGCTTCCCCACATTCCACTGCAATATTTTACCGAGTTTGTTGTTATTGTTGTCAAGCTTTTTAGAGCGTATGACACTATGGGACTCACTCGATGGATAATTTTGGGAAGTACAAACACATTTTCTTTGTTTCCCTAAAAAGCATATATAAAAGCTAATTTTCCCACATATTTTGGGACAAAGAGAGTGGAGGGGAGGTTGTACTTCTCGAAGGAGACTAGTCTCCTTCAGCAAGGGTTTCATAAGAACTACCATTAGCCCTTGAATATCACAAGTGAAGACATAAATTCAAAGACACACATGCTGAACATGTCTTTGGGGTAACCTTCCACACACCCAAAAAAAGCAAAGACACTTCCCTTAGCTAGACAGGTTTATCACTCCTAATAGGGTCCGGTTATAGGCCTATGGGCTCAAGTGGCTTTAGCAGCAAATTAGAACAGCTTACTTTAGACTACTAAACTTCATCCCATTAAGTTTTAACTACCAGGTGTTCATCCTTTGTAATTACTTTCTCAGTCTGAATTATTTAGTTGTCCACTTTCTTGTTTTCGTGTGTCTGGAATTTGTTGTCAACTTTCGATGTTCAATAAAGAAATTATGATGAATTGTCTAAAATATTCTAGAGATATGGCCATATGGGTATAAGCATTGCTGACATTAACGAGTGACAAACTCATTTGAAGTTTTTTTTTGACATTTTAAACTTATTTCTTAAAATGACGTTTTTTTAGAAAGTGGACAACTAAACTCATAAAAAATGGCATTTTGAACTTCATTTGTTTGAATTCTTTTTCATTATTATGACACATAATGTTTTATAAAAAAACTTTTGGCAGGCCCACATGGCAAAAAGCGGAAGAGCAATGATGTTCAAAAGGTAAATTAAACCACTATCTCATTCTTTTTCTGAGTATTATTGCTGTATGCAGCATTATCTGTTTGGTTGCTGCCTATTGTGGAATGAGAGCTTGTGCTTCAAGGGGAAACTGGTCATGGCCCTTAGGAGTTAGGCCTCAATAAGGACTATCCTAAAGCTTTAAATGCTCTATTGAAAATGTGTTGCTTTATTTAGTTAATAATGTTTTACTTGGCCCAGTTGAGATAATGCAAACTGGCACTACAATGCTTGTTTTCTAGTTTGTTTCTATCAAATATTTAAGTTTAGAATCAACGGAAGCCCCTCTGCATTGTCACTGCAATGCTTGTCTTATCACCATTGTCAGGACAAAGGCGTTCTACCTTCAGAGAAGCTTCTTCTTAACATTCAAATTCCACATCAATTAAAGAAGCAGCTAGTTGATGATTGTGAATTCGTTATGCATTTGGGCAAGGTAAGCGAGATGCATGTTCTTATTACATTAAGCTTTGTTTCCTATTCCTTTTTGTGCACACTTTCCTGTGTTTGGCTCGAGTTTTTTCAACCCCACTATGAATAGTGATTACGTTGTTTGCTTTCCTATATTTAGTACTCTGTATTTCGGAATTAGAGTTGAATTCCAGAAGAATTGAAACACTGGTAGCTTAATATTTCACAATAACGAAGCCTAATTTTTTTTTAAAGAAACCCCAATAATGGTAAATGAGGAAGATCGAGAGGGGAAAGGACAATCATATTCGACTTTGGCATCTGTTTACTTTACTCACAACCTGATAGAGTACCCAATATGCAGTCAAATTTGTGCATTGGCTATTTGGCTTGTCCTTCTGTAACCCTAAGAATGGAAAATTAGGAAGATCGAGAGGGGAAAGAAAAGGATCCTTCTGTAATAGTTTATTATTGTTGTCCTTATGCATTTTACAAGGTTTATTAGTAATTTCAGTGGGGAGGCAACAGTCATTACCCAGTGATCCTTTTTCACTCCACCAAATTTAAGCTTTAAACACTACATGCATAAACATATTCTGCAGCTTGTTCTACTTCCTCGTTCTCCAACTGTGGATGGACTGCTCAGCCAATACAGTGACTATCGGTTACAGAAGGATGGAATGTAAGTTCAAGTTCTTCCAATCGTGCCTTCCTATTTTTGATAATCTGTTTATGCACGTTCTGTTAGTATTTCATTTTTCTACTAAGTGGATACTTAGTACTTATAGCACTAGGGGTACTACTATCTTTATAAGGAATAGGGTCTCATGGTACTTCAAAAAATGTTATTATTTGATTGTCAATTTGTTTGTTTGGTGGATAAAGGATATCAGATTCACTAAGGGAAATTCTGAGTGGGTTGCAACGCTACTTCGACAAAGCACTGTACGCTTTGCTGCTCTACAAGAACGAGCGTGAACAGTACCAACAAGTAATCACGGGCGTTGTATATCCTTCGTTTGTGTATGGCGCCGAGCATCTATTACGCTTGTTTGGTATGTTGTGTTATTTCTTTATGCATCTCCTTATGCATGTGAGGACAAACAAGACCATATTATGTTCTGATGCGGTGCCCCTTCGTCCAATGTATTTCTTTTGGCAGTTAAGTTGCCTGAAATGTTGCGCCATGCGAATATCGAGGAGGAGACAGTAACAGTGCTTCGGCAGGAATTGCAGGATTTCCTGAGGTACACTGTAGTGATTTTTCTTCTGAGCCTGTGTCTGTGTTTGTTTTGTTTGGTGTATAAATAGGATACTCGATTTTGGTGTACCCCTAGCATTATTGATTTTAATATTCCATTGACAAAAATGTGCAGGTTCCTGATGAAGAACCAGAGCTCATTCTTCTCTTCCACTTATGTGGATGCTAAAGGCTCTTCTGCCTGCTAATGCTGTGGTGGTTTTGGTTACCAAGAAGAAGAAGAAGAAGAAGAAGAAACGCCTTGCTTAATTTTTATCCTAATCTCTTAACTCTTCTTTTGTATATATGAAGACGACGACTACAAGCAGGCACTTGGTCTGCATATTTAAAAAAAACAAAACATTTTTTGTTTAATTATCACTAATTAATCCTTTGTCTTTTTTGTCTTTATTTGGATTGTTAACGTGATGATTATTATGTTCAGGTATGCAATTGTTCTTCTTAATGCTCGTAGCCAGTGCCGCCCAATCATTAAAGATGGCCCTGTGCAACTCAATAATTCAAGGCTCTAGGATATAAAAACAGGAGTGGTTTAAGGTAATAAAATAATTCGTTTAGATTTTTATTTGAAAAAGAAAAAAGTACATATCACAACAATTTTCTTACACTTTGAATTATACAAACTATTTAAAAAGAGCTATTCTTCTAACATTGTTTGAAACAAAAGCTTCATATTTTCTTATTTTAGGAGTCATATTAGAATTAAATTTTTGAAGAAACAATAAAACGTGGGATAAGAAAATAGAGTGTGCAACACTACAGTAGACAAAAATGGATGAAGAGAGGAAATTCAAATCTTAGATATCTTTGATGAATGATGAGCCATAGCCAGCCTTCAACCTCTTTTTCTAATTCTGAAAAAAATAATCAATGATTAAAACCAAAGTTAGAATTGAACTACTGGTCTTGCAAAATTAAAGAATAAACACTAATTTATAACATTAAGAAACAATTGAACAATAAAATGAATCATTTAAGATTTTAAGATGCAAAATAAATATAAATTTCTAACACAAAAAATTTTCAAACAAATCTAAACCACCTATATTGACTTATGACTTCCGTGCACAAAAAAAACCAGTAAAAATTGAGATTGCCATTTTCATTGAGAGGATGAAAGAAGCACGGTCAATTTGAAAAAAAAAACAGAAACATAAAATAAGAACTCACCAAAAAAGAAGAAATTGAGGAGTTAATCGGCAAAGGAAGAAGGCTTATTTTCCATATTAAAAGAGGAATCGCAATCGGGAAGATGCGAAGGACAGCTTTGAGTTCCGTTAGCGGCCAGCGGAGGAACTGATGAGTCTGGATTCTGGAACAAGTGATGAACTCATCGGCTTATGCTTTCCTTTAGTACGGAGTAATATATTGGTAATTAGGTACTGGGATTAGAATTATAATTGGACTATAAAAAATATGGGTCCCTATATTTTTGAGGCCCTGTTCTAATGCACATGTTGAACCTGCTAATGGGCGGGCCTACTCGTAGCCTCGTACTATACTTGTTAATGTTAGCGATTTTGGAGGAAAATTAAAATTTTACAGCAATAAATTTTCAACCAATATTGATAGAGAGTAACACACTTTGTAGTAAAGGGGATTTATTATTTTGATAAATTAGGTTTTCGGATTTGCATTAAATTAATCCTAAATCTGTAAGATCACATTCCAAGAATTTCAAAAAAAGATGTAAATCTAAAATTCTTTTGATCATTGGGTTCCGATAAAGTGTACAATCGGTTTCCAATCGAGACATTTGTAATTGTTTTTGTTTCGTAAAATTTTTGATACAGTTTTCAAATATAGAATTTATACTTTTCAATTTTGTTCTCATTTTTAAGTGTATTGAAAATAACTTCATGACACGATAGGTAGTACAAAGACAGTAATTTACTACAGATTATATTTACTTTAAAAACAAACAAAGGCACAACAAAAGTAATTTTATTTTATATTGAGGACAAGTTTAAGTTTATTCAAAACCCACCAACAAAGGAAAATTACAAAAGACACCCAAAAAAATAAATATGAGAAAATTTATTCAGTTCCAAATGCCAACTTCCATGAACCCATCTTCAGTGGCACAACCCCTAAACATCCCAACACAGTTAAACCCATAGGCCACTTCCCCCTTATTGGACACAGCTATAAGGCCCGCCTTCCCTTGGTCCAGCCTCTTCTGGACCACGTGATCCACCGCTTCCTGGAGGCCCAATCCCTTGTACTCCATTAGCGCCGCCACGTCACGCGCAAGGGTCCCACGCAGGATGGCCTCCCCTTCCCCGGTGCACGACACTCCGCACACCTCGCACGCGTAGGTCCCGGCCCCGATGATCGGGGAGTCGCCGATCCTCCCGGTCATCTTGTTCATCAGCCCGCCGGTCGACGTCGCGGCGGCGCACCTCCCCTCGCCGTCCACCACCACGCACCCCACCGTCTCCGGCGCGTATATGCTTATCGGAAGCCCGTTCATCTGAATCGGGCTCTCCGCCGCCGCTCCGCACGTCGATTCAAGCGGAATCCGGTAATCGAACTGTGAAATTGATGAAATTCAATCAGCATTCAAATCATCGCATAACAGAAATAGTCGTTGAGGATCGTGAAAAACTGTTGAGATTGAAGTTCTGACCAGAATGGCTTTGGCTTCCTTTGCGAGCTTCAACATTCCGACGTTGTCCTCGGTGACGAAGTAGTCGTTGCCGACCATTTCGACTCCCTGTTGCTTGGCGAACTCCTCGGCGCCGGAGAAGGCCAAATAAGAGTGAGGAGACTTGTCCATGACGAGGCGGGCGAGGGAGATGGGGTTCTTCACTGTTGTGATCCCTGAAACGGCGCCGCATCGCCTGCCGTTCCCGTCCATGATGCTGGCCTCCATCTCCACCGTCCCTTTCTCCGTCAGAGCAGATCCGCGGCCGGAGTTGAACAGTGGATCCGTTTCCAATTCTCTAACCTTGTTTTTTTCACGTGTGAAAAGGAGATCAACAATTAATTAACCAATTAATTAAATTACTGCATTAAACGGTTTCCTCCCAATACCCGAAACTCTAGGAATTGAAAAATTTTGCGAATAAAGCGGAAGAAGACGGGTGGACGTAATTGAATCTCAGCAAAAAAAAAAAAAAAGAAGAGAGAGAGGGGAACGGAGCGTACGACGAGCTCGACGACGTCGATAGCCGGGAGGGAGGACCGGAGGGCGGAGATGCCGAGATTGAGGCAGCGAGTGAGGAGAGCCTTGGCCTGTTGTTGGCGCTCCAAGGGAAGTTTAGGGTCTACTCCGGCTCCGCCGTGCACGGCAATTGCCCAGCCGCCCATCTCTCCTGTCCAACCCTCTCAGACGAGACAGGGTTCTCTTTTATTTCTTTCGTCTTCTTCGTCTCTCTGTTGCCAATCTCTCTGGTTCATGCTCCCATTCTAACGCTCCCTATAAATAGACACACCCGCCCGCCTCATGTTACCCTGCCATCCCTAACCAACAGTTAAACTCTCCCTATGGCACCGTTAAAAAAAAGGCAAACTTTATATTGTTCTGAATTTTATGTTCATTTAATGAATTTTACTGTATTGATATCAATTTTCTTTGCTTAAGATGTTTTTATTTTGATTTTTTGTGATTTTTAAGGAGATTTAAAAAATGTGAAAGTTTATGAAAATTTTTTTATAAAAATGGATGGAATTTATTAAATGAGGTGTGTGAAATATAATAAATAAAATAAATGAGAGTAACAGTGGTATTTTAAATCATAACATGATTAATAAGAAAATTTATAAAGAACAACAAAAAAAGGTGGATGAAAAAATTTATGGGACGAAGAGAGTAAAAAAGATTCACTTCTCGACACATGAAAGTGTGAGAATGACTTTAGAAAACATAGAAGAATTATTCTAAAGAAAATCCTTCCCGCAATATACATATACACTCTTTTTAAAATAATATTCCCGTTTTAGTTAAGGAGGGTTGATTGAAATTATTTACACTTTAATTTATTTAATAATAAATGTAAATTTTTAAAATATAAGTTACTTATTTAAGTAGTTTTTCAATTAATAGAACGACAATTTTGACATTTATCAATAGTTTTACTTCTAGTATAAAAAGTAGCCCCGTTTTAGTGAAAGCCTAATGTGTTTTATCTTTTTTTATTAACCTAATGTAGTAATGTTTTTATCTTATTCTAATAATTTTCTCTAAAAGCATTCCAAAAATATTTGAATAACCTTACTTGCACACCATTTGATATACACTATTCGCACAAAATTTTAGGATCCGTTTGGTATATATAACTGACGGAATTGGAATTGAATTGCGAATTAAAATTGTACACATTGAATTAAATTCTCCAATTTCAATTCAGTTTTGACACTACCCATTCCAAGTCCACATATTTTTTTGTTACCAAATAACAAAATTGAAGTCGTTTTCTCCAATACTAATTCCATAGTTTGTGCTAATATGAGTAATCAATTCACCGGGTGTAAATTGTTAATTTACAACTTGGTGCATGTGTAACAAATGGTAAATGCCAAGTGGAGTAGACCTCGTTGTAAAGAGTTTCTTGGGCAAATTATTGATCATATACTGGTGTCATGTCATTTCTTGACAAACGTGACCCAACTATCCAAGCTTGTACGTGACACAACTACCCAAGCTTGTCCTCTCTCTTTAACAAATAATGCATGCTCACTCCATCAAAACTTCATCATTTTTATCTAAGGACATGCTAGATATTCCCTCTATCCACCATAGATCTTCCCAGATATTATTCACAGAATCAAACTTAACTCACTTTGTTTGCTTATTTTAACCATTCATTTCATAAAATAAAATAGTATTGTCACCTCTAGTTTTGTAGAACTTTTCATGTACTTTTTTACTATATAAATTTTATTTTTAAATTTTATCTTTACAATCAAATAAATTGAATTGAAAATAAAGTCGCTCAAACCTCGTAATGCGCAATGAGAAGATCATTGGTGGACGGAGAAAGTATATACCAAAATAATAGTGTGTATGATTTACAGAATTACAGGCACTATATTCACACACGCTATGTGTCTGTGTAACTCAGTATATAAACGAGGTACACTATTTTGGTGCATCCTTAGCTTTATTCTTTAATTTATCATGTTTGACTAACCGTTTTTAATGCAATTATATACTCTATTTGTCCATAAATAAAGTTTCCGTTGCGTTTTATGATGTTTGACTAAAGTTATTTTTAAATTTTTTTTATGTGAAAAATGCTATGAAATTAGAAAAATAAAAATTACATATTTAACAATTAAATGAAAATATCTGCAAAACTAGAGATGACATGACTATATTATTTTATCAAATAAAAGACAAAATCAGTCAACAAAGTGAATAAAATTTGACTATGTGAATAGTGAACAAGAACTTTAATGTTGGACAGAGGGAGTAGAATATTACGGAGTATATTATTTTAAAGAAATACTTTATAAGATGTAATTAAAGTAAAATTTCCACTAAATAGGACTAAAACATAATGACTTTCCCAATGTAGGACTTAAACATTTTTATTCCCTAAATAGGACTTAATAATGACCTAGTGGGAGGAATAATGTCCAGTAATGATGAACATTTACTTGAATAATGACTACTTGATAATGACCAAAAGTCCTAATTGGAAAATAAAAACATATGGTCTTATATTGGGAAAGTCATTATGTTTTAGTCCTATTTATGTAAATTTCTCGTAATTAAAAAGTTATTTCCTCCGTCCTTGAAAACTCTTCTTATTTTGACTTTTTTATATTTAGATTACATAGTTGAAAATGAAACACTCGATCAATATTTTATTTATATATAGGTATAATATATGCATCAAAAAAAAATATGCATGACCGATAGTGGCTGCCCCCTTCCCTTTGAGCCGTGGCCACCACGAGCAAAAATCCAAAATTAGAAACAAAAGGGACAAGTTTAAAGTCACCTTTGGCCACCCTAACACAAGTCTCTCTTCCCAAAACATAAATTAACGGTCAAACGTTTTTAAACTTTGATCCCTCCTTAAAATTAACTTTTGAGTCTTACTTAAACTTTGATCGTACATTCAAAAAAGATATATTAAATTTTTATATAAATTTAATATCAATATATAAATTAATTTTGAAACATAGTTTTAAAATATTATACTTTTATATTCTCTCCGTATCTAAAAACATTTCATGTTTTGAGTTTTTTTGGTCAGACATTGATACTATTTGACCACAAATCAAACATATCTAAATTGGTAAATGATATAAAAATTTGATACGTCAAAACTATATTCTAAGATTAATCTAATTATGTCGAATTTATATTATAATTAAATATACGTTTCACATAATTCGTGGTTGAAAGTGTCACTCTTTGACCAAAAAAGTCAAAATGGGAAAGATTTTTAATTAGGACTGGAGTGAGTAATATATATACTTATACTCCGTATATAAATAGAGATACTAATAGTGAAATTCGCACTAAATAGGACTAAAACATAATGACTTTCCTAATCTAGCACTTAAACTTTTTTATTCCCTAAATAGGACTTAATAATGTCTTCGTGGAAGGAATAATGCCCAGCAATGATAGACATTACTTGAATAATGACTAAAGAATAATGACCAAAGGTCCTATATTCGAAAATAAAAACATATGATCCTATTTTGGGAAAGTCATTATGTTTTAGTCCTATGTAGGTAAATTACTCATACTAATAATCAAAATATTATAATTAAGATCGTGAAAAGTCTAATAAAAAGTTAATTTTAAGACTACTACCTACTAGTATAATAATAAAAAAAACTTTATAAAAAGAAAATCAAGTGGATTATTGGAATCACAAAAGAGGTACCTTAGACTGGCCAAAAGATTCTCTTCCAACATATTTGGTGCCTACATCACTAGCTTTCTCAATCTCCTTTTTATATGAAATGGACCCTTTCTTTTACCTTCAATAATGCTTCATTCTCTGATTGAGTTTTTTTTTTAAAAAATATTTCATGAAGATTAAAAAGATTATTAAAAGTGTGTGCAGTGGTCAAGATCTTTTTAGAAAAAGAGAAATATTTCATCACTTCCAAAATAAGATCATGTTTTTCTTAGTTTTTTCATTAATTCTACAACAATTTTCACACTTTTACCAATTGCTTTAATTTAGACAAATATTAGCTCCGTTATAGAGTATTTGTACAGTTTTGAATATTACAAACATAGTCAACATAGTGTTAACTCCCTTTTGAATACAAGGTTGAAAAGTTAAAATTTCAACCCTACCACTCAATTAAACTATACTTCCTCCGTCTGAATTTAATCTTCTTTTTTGACATTCCATAAATTTCAATGTAACTTTTTGATTATTAATATCAATATTCATACATGGATATATTCTATAAATTTTAATATTTCAAAACTATATTTCAAAACGAAACTATTAGTATTGTATTTATTTCAAAACACAATGTATTTTTTCATATATCCAAATAAAAATTTACAAACTTTGATAAATAAGAAAATTTAAATGAAAAGATTAAACCCGTATTAAGATAATATTTTTTTAAAAAAAAAAAGTTCATTGATAATCTATGAAGTATATACCCAGGATGGTCATTAGGGCATGCATAATACTACCTTCATCTTGGAGTGTCGGTCTAATTTTAACACTTAGCATTTAAAATTGACATGTTTTGACCATGTATTAACTAAAATTGATATTCCATATTAAATATTAACACAAGTTTATTAGATTTAGTAATGAATAGCTAAAATGTTATTAAAATATTGTTTTTTTAAACAAAAAATTACCCATCATTTAGTACAATTATTTTATCGTAGGGCTGGGCACAAATCCGAGTAAGAACCGCCACCGGTGGTTCTGGAATAGGACCGGAGACAGACACGGGAAAGCGAGTATGGGAACTGGACCAAGAACCGGTGGACACGAGTCAAATTCCGGGTTTTATTTTTGGGAACCGGAACCACCGGTTCCGTCAGGACATTAAATGTAGTTGTAATATTCAACTTTCTTCACTTAATTTTCCAAAAGGTCAACAAGAGAAACTCTTTCAGGAACGGAGGAAATATTAGATTTAGAAAAAAATTAATAACCGAGAACTGGTCCGGAAACGGACCCGGAACCACCGGCTCTGGAACCGGTTACGGCGGTGCCGTTTACGATTCCATTGGGCGGTGGTGCTGGAACCGCCTGTTCTGGAACTGGACCGGACCCGCACCGTGTCCAGCGCTACTTTATCGCATACGCAATAAGTTTTATTTAATTATAAATAAAAGATTCATTATAACTCAAGGGTGCGAAAAAGTCAAATATAGAGTAAAAACAATACTCAAAAGTACATACAAAATTGTGATAAAAAAGCCCCTCCACTTGCACCAATAAATTTTTATAACAATAAAATAGAACCACGTCAAAGTACTACGAGAAAATGACAAAAGTTTCGTGTGGGTAGGTGGGGGAGATACTGTTTATTTATTTATTTATTTTAGGAAATAAAGATACCTTTAAATATGAGTTTATGCCAAAAGCTGAGTATCATTTGTGTGGAATCTATGAATACATTTTCAATTCCTCCCACTCCCTCACCTCATACTCCGTTTAATTTAACTCACGACAGTGTAAAAGTTTTAGTTTTAGTTTTTTTTGAAAGGATAAAAGTTATAGTTGAAATTTATTTAGAACCAAGCAATGATAAAATATGTTTTTAGTCCATGTAAAATTCTCCGCATATTTTTTCCTCCATCCCAAATTAAATTGTATGTTTGTTATTGACATGGTCAAACTTCATTCACTTTCTTTTCTTATTTTCGTTACTCATTTGATAAAATAATATAATTATATCATCACTAGACTTGTAGATCTATTGTTGTAGTTCTTAAAATGTAAGGAGTACTTTTTTGTCCATGTAAATTCTTTTGTTTATGCCATCCTTAACAACTAATCTAATGAGTTGAGACATTACATTTATGTCGTATTCAATATTCTGGTCTCGTGTTAATTACCTAAGACATGATTTAAATGTCCTAAAGTAAGTCCTACATCGAATTAAATCCATAATTTCCAAATTTTATATAATGCTCTCAAAAAATTTAAGAATTGAATGTGTAATATGAATAAGAGTACAAAATAAGACATGAGAATTCTGTCTAAGATAATCAAAAATACAAAACTAGAAATAAATTTTTATTTCAAATAATTCAAAATGCTAATTATGTTTAAGTGTTTAAGGACCATCTTCAAATAAATAAAAAAATTGTAAGAATGACTTAAACAAAAAAATATCTATATTGATAAAAGAATAATTTACCTAAATAGGACTAAAACATAAAGATTTTCTCAATATAAGACCATATATTTTTATTTTCCAATGTAGGACTTTTGGTCATTATCTATTAGTCATTATTCAACTAAATGTCCAGCATCACTTGAACATTATTCTTGTCACTAGTCATTATTAAGTCCTATTTAGGGAATAAAAAAGTTTAAGTCCTATATTAAGAAATTACTTATGTTTTAGTCTTATTCAGTGCAAATTTCACTTGATAAAAACCAAAGATTGTCTATTTTACATAGACAACAAGTATATTTAACCAAAAAAACAATCAAAACAACCTAATATTTATTTTCTAAAATGAGAAGTAAAAAGTATAAACTACATCTTGTAACAACTAAAAAAAGTAACTTTTATTTTTGAATAGAAATCAGGGAAATGGATATATTTTTCCTGCAAAATTCAATTGATATTTATATAGACCTTGAGACATAAAGGGCTCGTTTGGAAATAACGTTTTTTATTTGCGTTAGCATTTTAGAAAAAAATGTTAACAATGCAGATTCATTTTGAAAACGCCAACGCTAAATGCTGCAAGTCGATAGCATTTTCAAAACACTAACGCTAACCTCTATCATTATTTCCAAACATTCCCAAAATAGTTGTGGAACGAAAGAGATCCAACTACAAGTCCATAAAAATGTATGAGAAAGTTCACATTTCACGTTTCATATGTAAACTTCAGGACCACAATAACACTCCTATTAAATAATTCTTAAGATGCATTCAAGTGCAAATCGTGACTAAAATGCAAGGAAGAGTTACTATTTCGGTCTCTCGATAACTTTTGCTTGTTGACTCATTTTGGTTGACCATTTGATAAAATATAATATTGTCACATCTTATTTTGTAAAGATTTTGATCTATTTTTGAATGATTTAATTTTTAATTTTTATTTTCTCTACTAATTTGTAAATAAAATTATTTCAAAAGAGATGATATTTTATACGTCATTTGAAATGTTGCTTACAATTTGGGACGTAGGCAGCAATAATAATAATAATAATAATGTTAATAATAATAATAATAGTAAAAATTATAAAACTAAAAATAAAAGTATTTAACAATAAATATAATACGATTTATAAGAATAGAAAAAATTAAAGATAAATATAAATAATTATAAATTTTAAAAACAAAAAAAAACTAATAAGAAAAATTAAAATTAAAAAATAAAAATAAATAAATCCTAGTAATTAATAATAAATAATAAAGAAAATAAAATATAAATAAAAAAGGAAAAGATAATTAAAAAATTAATTTAAAAGTTCCTTCCCCTCCTGTCAAACAAGGTGAAAGAAAACCCTTGCATACCTTGTTATTCCTTCTAATCCTTCCCATCGTTTTCTTTCACCACCAACCAAACAAGCCCTTGATAATAATTCCATGACAATGACTTTTGTGTGCCCTACTCATATTAGATCATGCATGATTCACTTAACCTTTTATTTTTGGAATCTTCAGTTTTTGCATGCTATAATAATTTAATATCTAAAACCATTGAAATTTTACATTATTCGTGTACTTAGATTAACCATCCTTTGCGATCTATACATAAATAAAAATAGATTGGTTCCGATCTATCTGTTTTTAAAAATAAAGAAAATGAATAAAATTTGACGATTTAAATTAAACAAACTTAATTTGAGACAGAAGAAGTACAATACAACTGAAAATATCAACAATTTAACTCATTTTTCGGCAAACATGAGAAGTGAAAAGCAGTAGGAAACATACCATAATCAAATCAAGGCCGACAAAAATTGTCTTCAGAATGAGAAAGAAGCCTCTATATCACCATTTTCTCATCTTCATACCTACTTAATAACTCAAATACTTTGTAATAATTAGTCCAGACGTTGAAAGAGGAATACCTAATTTAAGAACTTAAAATTTTTCCCGAATTCGATACCTAATTCAGTATTATCTATAAGTACAATTTAAGTAAAATCAATTAAGTTCAGCTCAGTAACATTCAATTTACTTGAGATAAATAAGTTCTAGTAAACGACCCCTTAAAAGGCACAAAACCTGGATGGAATCTCAAAATACGACGACCATATCATACTCACGCTTCCTCCAACATCACCATGATAATGGGATCAAACTTTGTGGTACTTGAACTTCTGCTCAATGTTAAATCTTCTCAAACTGCTACTGTGTCCTTCCAACACCAGCATTCTCACCGCCTCAACCCCTTCTTTCAGTGCAGTGTCCACCTGTTCATAATTATGTATGGCCAAAAAAAGAACTCTTGTTATGCACGACATAAACACTTCCAACGAACACGAGAGTATTCGGTTTGAACAGTGGGGTGTTTTGAAAGAAAGGAGGAAATGTTTCTAGTGTTACGCTTTTCGGTTTGTTGTAGGAAGGAGGGTGACGATAGCTTCCCTCCCCTCCAAAAACATTTGAACCAAATGAGGGAAGAGGACCCTCCCCTCCAACAAAAAACTTAAAAACATGCTAAGACATTGCTAATTTCTCACCTGTTCGCGTTCAGTTTTACTAAATTTCTGGAGAAGGAACGCCTTCATATCCATTGTTCCAGGCGGGTTTCCAATTCCTACATTATTGCATGCATTTTCTTATATTTATTCACCGAGCCTAGTAGCCTATATATCGTGAAATTAATATGGGCTGACCAACCTATGCAAAGTCGTGGGAATTGATGGCAGCCATCCAGATGCTCCATTACACTTTTCACCCTATCATCCATCACCAATTAAATCCAAGATCACACTACACAACTTGCATTGGTAACATTAGTTTGTCTTCTTCACCTTGACTCCTAAGGCTAGTTAGTAAGCAAAGTGCAATGTTTTTAATATTGCCATGGATTTACACAAAGAGAAAACAGATGTTTGCATAGCAAATGAGTGTCCAAATGTTTATATCCAAGAACAGTACCCATTGTGCTGGCCATATCCCCGTTTAGGCTTAAGCCTCAAGACACCATTTGGTAAACTCAACTCATCATGAACCTTCACAAAGGAAACCAAACTCATCATAAGTCATAAAATGATGCAGATAATCCATATATAACAATACTGAATTACCTACACTAAGGGGGTGTTTGTTTTTTCTGCAGGAAAAGGTTTGCAGTCTGCGAACCACTACTGTAGACATCTGCAGGAGAAGTGGTGGACCGAAGGTCTGCGGTCTCCAAGAAGAAGACTGTTTGTTTTTTAATGTTTGTAGACTGCTATATAAATTAATGGTGGTAGTGTATGGTGGTGGTGTATGGACGATTGTGGTGGTGGTGGATGGTGGTG